GTTCAGACAAATTTTCACTTTCGCCCATTTCTCACGAACAATGTGTTTTTTTTTTTTTTGGCCTCTGTTTCCACGCTAAATCGGTTCAGAAAAAGAAGGTTCATCTACGCATGCGTGCTCGATCGTTTTCTCGCTACTTGATTCATAGAATATGAACACGTTGAAGTGATTTTTGGTTTTTCTCTCGTGTTCGAGCCTTCCAAGAACGTGACTTTGTGTAATGAAATTAAGCGAAATTTCGATTCACTCGATAAACCGAATAATTTGTGAAATTTCAATTAAGCGAAATTTTATTTAGTTTATCGAGCGAAGTGAATTTTTTTTGGAATTTGGAATTTGAAATTCCACGGGAAGACAAAAGGAATTGAATTTTTCTATATTCTTCTCGAAATGCTCGAAAATCTTTTCAACCTTTCCCCGAATAGGAGATCCTCCGGTTACACGGAAGAATGATCTTTCTTTTCAATCGTATTCACTTCTCATGCATTCACTTACACTCGCACTCGTTTCTCACGCTTGAAATGATTATCTAGAGTTTCCTCGTTATGAGTCGATTCGAAATACTTCTTTCGGCGTCTCAGTTTGCGGCTTCGAGATCCAATAATCTCTGGCAATGATTTTTTTTCACCCGAAGGAAAAATCGATCTCTTCGTTCAGTATTTTTCTTCTTCTCTTATCTTCTTCTTCTTCTTTTTTTTTTTTGTTTTTCGGTTTTACACTTCCCCTTTATACAAAGAATACACCGTCGCGGCTATACGAAACTAGAACGGTATCATTTGTCTACACGTGAATAATTCCATGAGTCCGTGTGGTTGTAACGCTATCGTAAACACAAGAGTGAGTCTTGTTTCCATTTTTCCATGTCCTGATCAATGGTATTGAGCAATGTACTGCCGTTGAATCGATCATTTGAGAAATACCATTTCCCGCCATTCTACGAAAACGATAAAAATAAAAATAAGGATAGGAACGAGAAAGATGGAACAGTTAGAAAATTCTCACTTTTCGATTCATCAGAGAAAAAACGAAAAGAAGAAAGAAAATATTGTAACTTCATTTCTGCCTTCTCAACTTTAAAGTATTTCTCAAGCAATCTGTTCAATCAATATTTCATAACGTGCTAGACTTACTCTTTACGAATTAGAAATCGTGAATATCGTCCTATTGGTCTTTTACACTACTTAATCGTTCACTACGTTGCGGTTATCAGTGTTATTGCTGCTAAAAGTTCATTCAACAGGATCCTGCACTCTCGCTAGGATTGCTTCATTTTTCTTTCCTTTCTTTTTTAAATCGGTAGACAATAAATTCTGCTCGTCGTAATTGTTTATCCTTGGCCAACGTCGAGGAAAACGCAAGCGTACGTATTTTTACTTCGAGGAAAAAAGCTTCCGCTAACGATCGTACTCGAGATCGTTCGTTTCGTGGAAAATCATCGACAATTATACACATCTTCCCAAAACCGACACCTATTCGACGATGAAATTTTGTTGTTCGAGATTATTTTCCTCGTATCGGCTTATATTAAGTCATCTCATAAGTTTAGATCAACATTTCCAACAAACTAGATTCCTTCTTGTTCCACAATTTTTTCTTATCTTTTTGTAATTATATTTTCAAGAATTTTCAATTTTCAATTTTGGCGCGAAATTACGGGATGACCTAACAGAGAAGAAGAAGAAAAAAAAAATGGTAATCGTCGATGATTCTTCCGCGAGACAATCTTCTCTACTATGTATAGTCGTTAACAATGTTAATTACAGGTACCTAAAAATTTCTCGCACGCGTTCCCCACGTCGGAAAAAAGTAAGAAAAGTCGAAATGCTCGTACAAGCTAGGACAATCTACGCTAGTTCCTCGGGTTTTCAATCCGCGTCTCGTTCGTGGCGCTTTTTCTTCTTCTTCAATTTAAATCGAAGCGCCTCACACACGTCGCTATCTACTCGTGATTATTACAAAGTCAGAATGGAAGAAACGACGGTTAGGAAAATAAAACGAGAAACGAAGACGCTTGCAAGAATTTGCCGTTCGAGTAAAACGCTAGGGAAATCGGTGTAATTATTTGATGTACGCGAGCACGACGTTTACAATATTTACAGTGTCTGTATGTAATTAGTGAATTTTATTCCGATATTAATTTTCCCAATGTTTCGCAAACGCGTTTCCCCTATTTTCTCATTTTCATCTTCTTCTCGCGCCTCTCTACATCTTGCTTTACCGTTCGAAAATCGGCCAACTCTTTTACTCCTCGTGCGTTTTATTGTAGACTCAGGATGACACTTTTTCTTTATTTTTTTAGGACAACGTCCGAGAGCGATTGGCAAATCAGATGAAATTTCTCAGTACTTGCTCATTTTGTCTAATTAAGTTACATCTCCGAATGAGTTCCCTCTTCTAGATATGTAGAAAGTGTTTCCTACGTTTTCTCGTTCTTCCTCTCTCTCTCTCGAGCGTTTTGTCATAGTTTTACGTTTAACCGACTAAAATTTCGTTATTGCTACGACCTCGGCTACTATATCGAAAAGGGATTTTTTGGCAATTACAATTTCTCGTGTCGTAATGGTTCAGTATAAAGTGGATTGGCAGTGTTTAATATTGGTGAGCGTCGTAAACAGACCTGCCAGTTTATCCGGATTTTTAATGCCTGGGTGTGATCTAATCGCTGCAATACTCGAATATTCGTTAATGAAAAAATTCATTAATCGTGATTCAATTATGTACTATTTTTTAAAATAGAAATTAACATTTTGGCAATTTCAATAAAGCCATGAATAATTTATGATATTTTTTCTTTCGAGGACTAACTACTAATCAATTAATTACACTTCTTTACTAGGAAATTGTTAAGAATGCGAAAAGAAGAAAGAAAGAAATTCACTTATTCGGATGAATTAATTTTATATATCATTCTTTCAATAATGTACGATATTTTTTTTTTTTTTTTAGAAGTAATTATCAATTCCTTAATTAAATGTTTTATTCATACGAGAAAAGAAGAAAAAGACAAATTTGGCACGATACAAGCTCGTTTAAATGAACCAACTCGAATCTCCACTCAGTCACAGTTATACTCGTAATAATTTCGATTCATTTATCTTATCAGTGACAAATATTTTAACGTGTAAAATTTAAACGGTGAAAATGAAATTTGACAACGCTTCGAAATGACCGTAAATTAATTATTCATCGAATATTCGAGTACTGCCGATACCCGGATAGTTGGTAGCTCTATAGGGTGTTTCGCTTATAAATGAACAAGCAGTGGCGTGAAACAATAGCGTCATGCATGCGAAATAGAAGCCTCGTTATAACAAACGTTGTAAGAACAGTTTTTTTTTTTTTTTGGTTTTTTCTCAAGGATTTCAGTCGAAGGGTGGAAACATTCAATAAGTGACGAACAAGTCTTTCATTTTAAATGGTCTTGACGACGAGCTCTCTCTCTCTCTCTATATATATATTCATAGTGAGATCCTGCCGCTGCAAATATAGAAACTCTGAAAGCTTGAAACAATTGAACGTACGCGAATATTTTCTTTTTAATATTGTGACCTGGGTTTTTAAAATTCTTCTCTAATTAATTGTTTACAAAAATGTCATTGTGTGTTTTTTTTTCCTTTCTCTCGTCATCTCTTCTAATATTTTTTTTTGTCCTTTTTTGTTCTTTTCGTTTTTTTTTTCTTTAATTCCTTGGTCTTAAGCGCACTTGTTAAAGTCGATACTATATTTCTTTGGAGCAAGCATTCAAATGATGGTCTGCATTTTTTTTAAAGGATAGAATTTCGATACTTTTTTTTTCTTTTTACTCGTATATATGTACTGTATATATATATATATGTATATATGTTTAGAAAAAAAAAAAAAGAAATTCAAGATATCTTCAATTCCAGGAGAAACCTAACTGGCGGTATTTCGGGAAACTCGTCTATTTTAATATCGTAATTAGCTCGAAGTAGCTTTAATTAGTCTCTCTCTATTATCAAGAACAACCCATGCAATTACAAATTACAAAATAAAGCTAATCAGAGGGTCCGTGAACATCCTCTGACGGGAACAGAATTTTCTCCGATTCACATTTGAACGCGTGCCACCTAGTATCCATCGCTTCAGATCTTACACAATTTGTTCCAAGGTGGAAAGTAGCGAAAAAAATCGTTCGTCGGATTCTGTCGGTATAACACCAGGAGAACATTTGCCCGTGAATATTCTC